GCTGCCATCGGAGCCCTTGGTCACGCGCAGCTGGTGAATCGAGTATTTGGTTCTGCGTGCAAGTTCAGAATACAGGTCGGCTGCGGAGGCGTCGGGTTTCAGATCGAGGGACTCCGGCAGGGATTTGATGGGTTTCCCTACAAGATTGTGAGCAGGGATGCTGTCGAGGGGGAAGGGGCGGAGGTTTCTGTCCATGTCTTGGTTTCAACCAAATTTGCTTACCTCGAGGGCGTATTTGAAGTGTGATGGGTTTCGACGCCATGTTGGGCGGCTGAGTTCCTGCGGCTGAGGGAACACGAGTCTTGGAAGGGCACCAAAGACGACGGGAGAGGACGACGGATGTGAAGGAGAAGCGACTTCAAGGAGACAAGCTGATGGCCATCGAATCACAGTCGCAAGGGAAATGCTGTTGCGGGTTGCGGCTTGCTGGTGGCAGATATTGTGGCATTCGAAAAATAAAGGCTGCGCGTTCAATAAACTAATGCGACTCTGGCATCTGGAGCTCTGATTTCCAACAGCAGCCGTCCATTGGATGAATCCCCCTTTTACGGCCCCGCTTTCCCCTTTTGACGGTTTTGCTTCTCAATGCGGCGCTATTCTTGTTGTGGTGGCTTCCTGGACCCTTTGGTTCCTTGGTTTCCTTACAGCCCGTTCAGCCGTACAAGGGGCTGGCTGGGAATGTGAACATGAGTACAAGTATGGAGTATGGACCCGAGAAAAGTATTATTATAAGCGCTGCTCTTCCTTCTGCGCTGACCCGCCTCCTCTTCTGCTGATGGGACCGAGTAAGCAGATCAATGGTCAGCCAGTGTATCACCTAGGGGTATATCACAATTGTCCTCAGCCTCATTTCCGATCTTGTTCCTTGCTTGGATTCTTTTGGGTATAATTGCTCTACGGCTGGTCGTAACTTGTCGACGTCTGGGACCCAGAGGCTTTCAACATGCCATTGAGCTTGTCAAAACTGAAGGGTATGCTATGCATCCCTGAAAGCTCTGACAAATACTCAAAGGATGTAGGATTCAAGCCCGCCAAGGGGTCTCAGCCTGATAAGACGCCGGTTGTCGAAGAACGACCTCGTACGAGCGACTCTAGCAGCTCTGCATCGACCAGTGAAACCAAGAGGTCAGACCAGATCTTGGATGTGCTCAAGACCTTCAACTTGAAGAATCTCAGGACCGTCAAAGATGTCGCCTTACAGCAAATTGACGGCGAGCCTATCGACGACAAGACATACCTTATGGAACGAATCATTCAACTAGTCGCGGATCTTCCTATTTCCAGCAGAACCAGCGCTACTCTGACCAATGCGTTCCTGAACCAGCTGTGGACAGATCTGAAACATCCGCCTCAATCATATCTGGGAGCCGATTACATCTATCGCAAGGCAGATGGGACCAACAACAATATTCTTTGGCCGCATCTTGGGGCTGCAGGGCAGCCGTATGCACGAACAGTGCGTCCTCGATTGATGCAGCCCGTTGCCAGGCCGGATCCTGGAGTCATCTTCGACAGTCTTCTGGCTCGCAAGCAGTTCAGGCCTCATCCCAACAAGATATCGAGCGTACTCTTCTATGTGGCCTCGATCATTATCCACGACATCTTTCACACAAATCACGATGACTATAGCATTTCTGATACTTCTTCCTACCTCGATTTGGCTCCTCTTTATGGCAATTCTGTAAAAGACCAGGAGGCTATTCGGACCATGCAAGGTGGAAAGCTGAAACCTGACTGCTTCTCAGATGTGCGGATTCTCGGCTTTCCTCCTGGCGTCGGCGTCCTTCTCATCATGTTCAATCGCTTTCACAATCACATAGCAGAGAATCTTGCTCGCATCGACGAAAATGGCCGCTTCTCGAGGATTCTCAATCCACAAGGCAAGCCGAAGCCGCCTAACGCCGACAAGTTATATGATGAAGCATTGTTCCAGACGGCACGGTTGATCACCACTGGCCTCTACATCAACATCATCTTGAAAGACTACGTCAGAACAATTTTGAATCTGAATCGAGTAGACTCGTTGTGGAACCTCGACCCGAGATCTGAGGAAGGCAATGCTATCTTTGGCCATAAGATTCCGGAAGCCACTGGGAATTCTGTATCGGCGGAATTTAATCTGGTCTACCGATGGCACTCCTGTGTCTCCGAGAGGGACGAGCAGTGGACCAAGGAAGCTTACACCAAGCTATTCGGGCATCAGTCATCGCTGTCCATGGGTCAGTTCCTCGGTGCACTCAATGATTGGGCCAAGAAGCTGAGCCCGGATCCGGCCAGGCGAGAGTTTGCAGGTCTTCAGCGCCGACCTGACCACAAGTACCCCGACGAAGAGCTGGCAGCTATCTGGACTGCATCTGTCTCGGACGTAGCGGGTAGTTATGGTGCCCTCCATGTGCCTGAGATCCTGAAGAATGTGGAAGTGTTGGGTATCATTCAAAGTCGTTCTTGGAATCTGGCAAGCTTGAACGAGTTTCGAGAATACTTCAAGCTCGAGCCCCATAAGACGTTCGAAGATATCAATCCCGACCCTTTCGTCGTCGACCAGCTGCGTCGACTTTACGGCCACCCGGATAATGTCGAAATATACCCCGGCGTAGTCATCGAAGCGGCCAAGGAGCCCAAACTCCCTGGCAGCGGTTTGTGTACAAATTTCACCACCTCGCGAGCAATTCTTTCAGACGCTGTTGCGTTGGTTCGAGGAGACCGTTTCTATACCATTGACTATACCCCTGCCAATCTGACGAACTGGGGATTCAAACAGGCAGACTATGACTTGGCCATAAACAATGGATGTGTGTTTTATAAGTTGGTCTTGACTGCCTTACCCAACAGCTATCGACAGGATTCAGTGTACGCGCACTACCCGCTGGTGATTCCGGAGGAAAATAAGGCGATCATGACCAAGCTGAAGAAGGCAGATTTGTACAGTTTCGACAAGCCAGATAATCTTCCTGCTGCCGTTGCCGTTAGCTCTTCCTCAGCTTGCAGGACTGTCGTGGGGAGTACGTCTGGTTTCCGTTCATCTTGGGATATGCAGCTCTTCTCCTCTGGGCAGGAACTTCAGCATCATCGCGAAAAGGGTCTGATTGTCGCCCACAAGCTGCTCCAGACGGAAGGACTGCAGGCTGCGGCAGACGCCTTCTACAAGGACGTCATCACTGCTCTGGTCCGGAAGAGTGCGTATCAGCTCGCAGGCTGTCGGCAGGTTGACGTCGTTCGGGATGTTTTCAATGTTGCTCATGCGCAGTTCGCCGCAAACCTCTTCCTTCTGCCCTTGGGAGGTAAGGGGAAATCTCACGACAAATACGATGAACATGATCTTATTGCCCTTCTTTCCGCCATCTATGGCTGTGCAAATGTGAAGCAACCTGATAGGCGTTTTACTTTGATCAAGAAGAAACGAAAGGCGATTCTGCAGCTCGCAGGGCGCCTGCAAGCGGAAGTGAGCAACGGCATCAAGGGTAATTTCAGCCTACACTCGCACTCGCCGGTACAGCTTCGAAGCCTTGCAGCGCAAGCGACTCAGGAAGCCTCGAAGACTGGACTATCCCCGGCAGATATCGTGTGGACTCAACTGCTCCCGTTGGCAGCTTGGGTTTTCGTCAATCAGTCGCGAGTCTTTGCTGAGGTGCTCGATCACATTCTCGGCGCAAGAGACAGGAAACCAAGCATCGAGGAGCTGAAGCGGATGCTAGACCAAGAGGGCCCATTATCGAGTAAGGCGGAGACCTACTTTCGCGAGATCTGTAGGGGTCGACCAGCTACCCCCATCTTCAGAGAGGCGACATCTTCGCAAATTGTGATCGACGGAGGGAAACAGCTTCAGGTGTCTGCAGGGCAGCGTATTCTCTGTGACACAGACAAGGTAAGTTAGGCTTTGCTTGAGCGAGAATGATGGCGCTAACTGCAAATGACAGGCTGCGGTGCATTGTGACAGCACCACATTATCTGATGCTGGACCAGGCCAGTCCCAGGATCCGCAGGCCTCATCTGGAGACGAGGTTTCTCTTGGAGCTCGACTGAGCCTTGCATCGTTGGGATCGACCATGTCTGTTCTTTGCGGGCTTGAAGGGTTGACCAGAGCCGTAGGACCAACAGGCCAGCTTCGGCAACTGAACGAGGGTGACGTGGTAAACTATCTGAATGTCGAGGAGAGCATGGTACAGCCATACCCGGCGGCCTTGACGATCAAATGGCAAGGATGAAGAGAATAGAGCTTGAGCCAGTGCTTGGTTGGATAGCTAGAAGTACTTCGGAATGAGTAAAGCCAAACGGCTGCCTGTGGTGCTGAAGGTTTTGTAGCCTGACTGGGCGCTCTGGGCGTCTACTGGCCCCTCCTCACACCCCCGGAAGACCCAGCCATTGGCAGATGCGGCTAGTACCTTGAGGGGAAGCGGCACGTCATTTCCCACTAGGGACTCCAGGCCCAAGCGCGTCAAAAGTCAAGTAGTCGCCCGAACCATCTTCACTTGCCAGAAAGTGCGGCAGCACCCAAGCAGGCAGTGAAGCGCAGCACAAAAGAATCGACGCCACAAGACAGACAAGTTTCGGTTTTCATCTCTCCATCACCCCCAGTCGAGGCCTGCTTTACAACAAATCCTCATTCTTTTATTTCAACGTCTTGCGTCCTTGCTCTCTGTACACTACTTTTACCTATTAATTTCGTCCTTGATTTCATCCTTGGAGAGGCCAGCTACTGGCCTGCGTCAGGGCATAGGTGATTGCGGCTTCATAATTCGCAACACCCTTGAACTTTCAACGAAACTTCAAGCACTCTTTCGCACACAAATTCTCCTGCCGATTCAGAACAATCGCCTCTTCTTCTCTTCCTCACCGGAATTCAACCAACCCGCTCTTCCTGCCTGTATTGCTGTGCCAGCAATCCTGCCTCCCCAATACCGTGATCTTCGTCTCTCATCTGGAGATCGACTCTCGCAAGGCTGAACACAACCTCACTTTCTGATGCAACCTATGGTGCCGATTCACGGGGCTTAGTGAAGATGGGGAAGGTTACGAGGAAGCCGCAGGAGAAGCACAAGGCGTCGTTGGTGAGTTTGTTCCTGCTGCTCCATATATTGGGTGGACAAGGCTGATGTGACTGCTACAGTCCCCTGCGGTAACAGATCTGGTCAAGCAGGTTTCGACAGTGCCCTTGGTCGACCTTCCGGGTGTCTTGGCTGCCTGGTCGCCGAGATGGCCTTATCCCCGTGGCGATCTCAACAACTGGATCGAACCTCTCGACCGTTTTGACAGCATCCTCCAGTCCTTCAACTCGAGATATGGCTTGGACAAAGGCCCTCAGACAATACCCTTTAACTCATCACTATTACTCGAGGGGAGCCCTGGGGTCGATGAGCAGGGTTTGAAAGAGAGAGGATTTGGCCCAGAGGGTGATAGAGAACTGGTCGAATCGGTTCTGGCCTTTTCGAAACTTCTGGTTGAAAAATGTGCAAACCGCGCAGTCTACAATAGCACAGACCGCTTGAATGACTTGTTACATACCACATCGCTCTCCCTACTGCACAGCACTCTGCAAATCACCTTCTTCCTAGCGCAGCGGTACGGAGGCATTCGCCCCTCTCATGGGCCAAAATTTTATGATTTTGATTTTGAGCGTATCGAGAGACTGGCTTCGCCTTTCGGGCCACTTCCAGCGAATACTAAACGTGGACCACCATCTCCAGTCAAGACCAAGTCCAAAGAGAAAGTTCAGCACAACGGCAGCAAACCGAGGCGTGGCTCCACTGCATTCAATCCAAACGACTTTCGTGCCCTCTGCAAGGAATCCCCACAGCATGGCGACCGCGGGAAATCTTCATCAGCCGGACTTGATCGAGATTGGTCTGCATGGGCTCACCACGTCAGAGTCTGGTGGGAAACCTCAGGCTCCGAACCCGAGGCTGCCTCTGTTGAAGCCTCGCAATCGTTAGAAACCTCACCCACCCCGACACGCAGCCGACCATTGTCGACGGGCCCTGGCACGGCAAATACCAACGGCTCTTCCAATGACATTGGCAGTAGTAGAATTATCCATGCACCAGGTGAAAAAGAGAAGAGTGTGAAGATACTCGAATTCTCTCCCTCGGATCTATCAGCCACCACTATTGAGACGATCTTGCACAACCACCTGGCTGACGACATGCCGCCCAAGGTTCGATACGAGCTGCTGCACCAGCTTCGTGTTACCTATGCTTTGATCACCTCCTCGAGTAGTCGCAAGGAGCTGTTAGCAGTGCGGCTCTTGTCCATCGCTAGTCTGGCCAATGTCTTTGGCGAACCAGACCTCACTCAGAAACTGTTCTCGGAGGAGAAGCCTCAGGAATTCATCCAGCAAGTTGTGGGTCTTCTTCACGACACAAAGAAGTCCCACCCTAGTGTGCCCATCTATCTTCAAACTCTGGCCATGGAGACAATGTCGTTCCTGGCACACTCGAAATCTTTCGCTTCCGAGATTCATGCTGCATTGGGTGCAGGATCAAGTCAGGGGCTCCTTTCTCAACTGATACAAAAGGGCCTGAGTGATATTGCTCAGGAGCATGACCATACCGATGACGTGTTTGGGGACGATTGGAGAGACGCGATCTTTTCGTTGCCGAGGACGCTCATTGAGGTTACTGGTCACCACGGACGCTCTAGCGAGGCGGTGATAGCTTCAAGCTTTATCACCTCATACCTTACCGGGTTCAGTATTACAACCGCCAAAGCCATGAGGGTCCACCTGCGCATGCTTGACTTTATCAAGACGTTCTTCCATCACTTCAAAGATGGTCTCGCCACTTTGTTAAGTAACAATGCTTTTGAGGCTATCTGCAATCTCTTGAGCACTCTTGTGACAAGTGCTTGGGATCTTCTCCAGGCAGGCCAAGGGATACCGGCTCAGCATAAGACGCGGGCTACGGACTACGAAATCCCTTATATGCATCAGCAAATAATCCGATCCATCATTGACATGATCAACGACATCAGCGGTCATCAGGGTCAGCAGGCTGATCGAGTGCTGAGAAGCCTGGTCGACTCTCAGGCTTTGCTCCGTGCCTTTCGGCTCATTGTCGACCATCTGACTGCTTTCGGTGCGCACACATGGAGCGAAGTCATCAAGGCCATCTGGGGATTTCTCCACAACGAGCCCACAAGCTATGCAGTGATATCCGAAGCAGGTATTATTCAGAGCATTCTAAACACAGTCAATCCGTCACCGAACCCGTCAGAAACTCCAGCGAATCAGAAGCGGTCAAATTCAATATCGTCGGTCCCTGAAAATCGACCACAAGGTATTCCACCCGTGGTTGATGCAATTGTCAATGTCTCTCAGGTGTTCGGCGCCATTTGTCTTACGAGCGCTGGTTTCGACCTGTTCAAATCCTCCGGTGCTCTGGAGAAGTTTTTCGAGATCTTCGAGTCACCTGCCCATGTGAAGGTCCTCAACGATGCAAGCATGCTGGCTATGCTTGGTTCGACATTCGATGAGCTCATCAGACATCATCCAAACTTGCGGACTTCCGTTTTGAGTGCGGTGATGATAATGCTTGGTCGCGTGCGTCATATAGGCAGGTCGCTCTCCGTCAACTTTGGTGCAGGAGCAAAGCTGTGGCTTGGTACAGAGGATGAACTTGTTCCCTGCGGTGGACGCGAGGCCCTGTCGTTGGAGATTCTACCACCAGTTTCAAGCAATGCTGATGAACTCATTCCTGCCAGAAAGATTGACCTGCCGAATGGTGACAAATTGATTCTGGAGGATGAGATGCTTCCCCCGAGCACTGTTACCGGAAGACCGAGCGATCAAGATGGCAATGGGCTGAAAGCTAGTGACTACGTGAGACCTGCGATTGCGTTCTTGATGGCTTTCTTCGAGCACCAGGCTCATTGCACTAGCTTTTTGGACCATGGTGGCTGTGACCTTGTCTTGGACTTCATCACATTGCCCAGCCTGCCGGTTGCAACTCAACCCTTTGACCGACACGGTGGAATGTTCCAAGAGCTGGCCGCGGCAGTTCACATGATGGCCGAGACCAAACCGCACATTGTACTTCCAGCACTTGTCGACCGCGCGCGTTTTGCTTGTTCGGAGCTAAAGCACTTCAGCCAATGTCAGCCAACCGACTGGTCTTGTTATTTTGGCCCTCTAGTGAAAGCCGCGCCAGGCACCACCGGGACAGGCAAGGGCCCTGCTCCGCAGCTGTCAGACGTGGAGTTAAATGGAACTCGCCTAGTCAGAAGCATGATGGCGGTCTTTTGTCTGGCCCAGGTGCTAAGCGAGATCTTCAACATTCCGATTTATAACCAGAGACACATGCATAACTTCCTGTTCGGGTCAGTGAACCTAGAGGATGTTTTAGCCGACATTGCTCAAATGATGGGAGCGATATCAGCTGCCTGTTGTCGCGAGGATGTCGCGCTCCAGCGCTCAATCCCCGAATCCTGGATCTCGGCAACACGCCCAGAACACTTCTCGACCGGTGACGATGAGGTCGATAAACTTTTGAGTGTTCGCGACATCACGTCTCGCCATACAGGGCTTTCGACACCTGAAACTGGCGAGAATAAAGCAATCTCTGGGTCAGACTCCGCTACACTGAGTAAGGATCGACAAACACCATTCTTCAAGAACGTCCAGACTCTACGCTTTCTCTTGATCGAAACTCCTGCCGCCATCACCGATTTCCTGTGTCGACTTGGCCGCAACATCGCTGGCCGGCGTCGCCCAGACACCTTCTCCAAACAGAAGACGTCCTTAGTGGCAAATGCTCTCGCCTCCGCCTATTTGACACAACTTCGACCATACTTCCTCAATCCGAAACCTCCGCAAAACGGTGGCGCCGAGGATACCGAACCCCGCTTTACTTATCTTGTGATCGCTCTAGATAACGTCCGGGGCAGCTTCTACGACGACAGCAGTTCGTCATCAGGACCCATCGCGACACATCCAGCCCGTCAAGGTTTTGTCGTCGAGGCGTTTCGCAAGGCTGGCGGTATCAAAACTCTGACGGAGATCGGCACAGAGTTTTTCGACAAATTGAAGTCCTGCAAAGTGGAGCATGCCATTTTCTCTGCCAATACGGGTCTCAAAATCTGTCTCGATATCCTGGAGGTATTCACCGATTCAAAATGCATCATGGAATCGGCACAGTCGAACAACATGAAGACTATAGACCCTTCGAGGCAACACTACTTTGTTCCTGCTCAAGTATTACTCAACTTACGGATGGAAGCACTTCCGCTCGCGCGATTGATATGGGCGAGTGAATACGCGGACCAAGCATCCAAAGACGTTGTGCAGAAGCTGATCTCGATCTTGAAGCATGTATTCACTGGTGACCATGAGATGGAAGCAGTGCAGTCTGATGGTGACCACCCTACTCTTGCACCCTTTGCGCCAAGGCGACCGGAGTTTGACCCTTCAAAGGTCAACACTTTGAAAGAGAAAGGCTACAGTGAGGATCTCGTACGCGAGGCTCTTTACCGCTCCAATTCGCAAGCGCCAAATATCTACACGCCAGCTGAAGAGTACTGCCGAGCACTTTTAGCCAATCCTCGCCGGAGGCGACTGCCAGTCCCTGAGAGAGACAGCGACACTGCGACTGCTCCTAGCAATATTTCTGGCGCTGTGACTCCGCCGGCAAACTCAATTTCATCTTCTGGTTGGGTCTCGCTGGGCACGATTCACACTCTACCTCCGAATGCGCATCAAGCGCCAGACGACAACGAGATGGAAGACGTCACCACCTCTAGTCAAAACACTTCCGCATCGAGACCTGCGGATAATGCCACGACGAGCGTTTCTTCCGCAATGGACATCAGTAACCTTCTCAATAGTGACACTGAACCTGAACGCGTGGTACCACAACCTTCCGAGGCAGATCTGCCACGGAATTACTCCGTTCAATCGATCAACGAACAGAGGGCACTCATCAGAGAGGACCTGGCAGAGCGATGCAACAATATTCTCGACAATCACCCGAACTTGACCTTCGAGCTGTCTGACTTGATCATTAGTGCAACAAAGAAATTGGGTGAAGATCAAGCCAATGAGTTTTGGAGAACTACCTTGGATCTTCTGACTAGTTCACTACTATCGATGCAAGACGAAGATGATATTAACGAATCCCGCGGAAAGAAAATCGCCGCCGCAGCACACCTGGTAGCTCTCCTTATCCAGGATGGAGAAGTGTTCAAAGAGACACTCAATATATTCCAGGACTCGTTTGAAGGCATCCTTTCGTTTTTACAACTTCCGGCAGCGGATGGACGGGCAGATGAAGGCTCCTTTCCATGGGTTGCGCCTATCCTGCTGATTATTGAAAAGATGCTGTCCAAGGACTGTGAGCCGGCAGTAGTCAAGTGGGATAATCCGACGGACCTTGATTCTGTCACAAAGGCTGTGCTGACACCGGTTGCTGTGTTCGATATGGATGACAAACTGAAGCTCTTCGAAGCACTCGTGAACCTGCTTCCTCGCGTTGGCAAAGACAAAGGCATGGCTTTAGCCATCACTAGAGTTCTAGTTCCTCTTACAAGAACTCGAGAAGTTGCCAGCAGGTTGGCTGAGAAACGGAACCTTCAGAGACTCTTCCTCATGGTCAAGCAACTTACCAATGGGGTGGGACATCGCCTACAAAGTTGCTTCATGCTCATTCTGCGACACATTGTCGAGGACGACGCAACCCTGAAACAAATCATGCGCAGTGAGATAAAGCTTCTATTCCACTCTCGCAGCACGGCACGGCAACCAGACACAAACAGTTACATTCGTGAGCTGTACCATCTTGTCCTGCGATCGCCATCTGTCTTCGTCGAGACGACAAATGAGCTTGTCAAATTGTCTTCGTGGCAGCCGCATGCTACAGGTGTGGCTGCTCTGGTATTGAAGGATACTCTAGTGCTGAAGGAGACCAGTGAGTCCAAGGCAACCGACCAAGACGAAGGTGCCCAAAGTCAACCAAACGAAGACAGCACAGTGGATGGCACGCAGCCAGCAGCCAGCGTTGAAAACGCGCCAAATCCCAACGAAGAGGGTAGCAAAGGCAAGGTGCCCGAATTGAAGCCTCCAACTGTCGAGCATCCGGATGGAGTCATTCACTTCATTCTATCTGAATTGTTGAATTACAAGGATGTTGAGGATAAAGATCCCCCTGCCCAGGTTTCGGGCACTCCAACTGTGAATGGGACGTCAAATCTTAACCAACACACCGCTACAGCAAGTTCGTCTGAAGGCCCTGCCATTGACGGTTCGCAGCCGAAATCTGAGAAGGCAAAGTTCAAGCCCGAGGAGCACCCAATCTTTTCCTACCGCTGCTTCTTGATGTACAATCTGACCGAACTTCTGCACTCTTATAACCGCGCAAAGATTGAGTTCATCAATTTCTCTCGCAAGGCTGACCCAATGGCGGGTACGCCATCGAAGCCACGTTCTGGGATTCTCAACTACTTCCTCACCGGACTGATTCCATCCTGTTATGTGGACAAGGAAGATTCTCTCCAATTCAAGAAGAAATTGCTCACAAGTGATTGGGCTATCCGAGTGATTGTTGCCCTGTGTTCTAAGACAGGGGAAGCGGGTATGACTGTTACTGCGCAACGATACTCCACACAGCCACAAATCGAGGACGTTGACGACGAACCAGACCTGACATTCGTGCGCCGCTTTGTCCTCGAGCACGCCATCAAAGCGTACAAGGATGCCATTTCTTCGAACGAACCACTTCAGATGAAGTACAGTCGATTGCTGTGTCTCGCTGACATGTTCAATCGTCTCTTGACAAAGCCCGCCGTCCCAGAAGGCTCTGCTGGCTCCCAGAATACTTCCTACAAAGTTCTTTCCAGGATGATGTTTGAGAAGAATCTTATCTCAGTCTTGACCAGTTCGCTCACAGAAATCGATCTTGCATACCCTGGCTCCAAGAGAGTGATTAAGTTCATCCTGCGCCCATTACAGGAGCTCACCACATTAGCAACCCAACTAAGCGTCACGTCGCCGGACCTTTTGAACTCCGTGGTGGGAAACATGCCTGAAGACGTCATTTCGTCTGCCTCGTCGGTATCGGATGTTGATGAAGAGCGGGAAGAAACACCTGATCTTTTCCGAAATTCTGCGCTCGGTTTGCTGGATCCTAATCGGGATCCTGGCTCGGACTCTGCGACGGATGAAGAAGATGAAGACGAGGAGATGTATGACGATGCGTATGAGGACGAAATGGAGTACGATGACGGCATGGTTGCCGGTCCGAACGACGACGAAGCAGTCAGCGATGAAGAAGAAGGTGAAATGGGGCCAGACGGTGAAATAGAGGGCCTTCCAGGTGATGTACCAATGGACATCGAATTTGTTGTGAACGATCCTCACATGGATGTCGACTCAGATGAAGATGAAGATGATGAGGATGACGACGAGTCCGACGAAGACGACGAGGACGATGACGATGACGACGACGGCGAAGACTTCGAAATTGGTGAAGACGACGATGCCGGTGAAATCAACGCTGATGACGAAAACAACAGTCTCAATGAAGGGCCCGAGGACGAGGAAGGCGAATGGGAAGACGAAGATGAAGATGAAGACGACGACGATGAGGGCGATGAGGCAGAAAATGCTGGGGGACGACATCGCATCGCTGGGTTCGATCACGATGAGTTTTCCTTCCCTGGAGGTATGATGCCCGTTGCTGTAGTACAGGGTCACGACAATGGCCCGCCCGCCTCGGCAGGTGTCCTCAGCAACTTGCTTCGGGTCTTGGGTGACCACGACCTTGATGGCTCGATGGGCGATCGGTCAGAAGATAGGTCTACGCCACTCAGGATAACCGCCCGTCGTAGTCGTCCTTCAATCGATCCAGGCGTCGTTCCACCTCCAGGAATAACTTTTCCAGAGGAAGAGGACGATGATGATGAGGACGAGGACGACGAGGACGAAGACGATGAAGATGGCGACGATATGGACGAGAATGACGGATTGGAGTACGGTGACTTCGATCACTTACTTGGTGGTGCCCGTGAGATCATCGAGCACACCCATTTGACATGGGACCATCCGCCTCTTATGCGGCGGCATCGTCCACTTGCTGGCTCGGTCTGGAATTCCCTTACTAGGCGGATTGAAGGCCGTGAGGATCTGAATCCACCAGGCCGCTCGGGCCGTATATCGGGACACGTGAGGTCTGGCGATGATGGCACAAACCCTCTGTTACGAAGGCCTCAACCAGAGTCTCGACAGAGAACAGAGCAGCTTGGTACTAGCATTTTCTTCCCGTCCGCGATGCAGATACCAGGGATCCCTCCCTTCCATCAACCTATTCAAGCAACTCTCCATACGGTTGATCCACGCGGAATAGGCGGACATGGAGCTGTACTTGACGCCATTTTCTCGGCTCTTCAGCGTGGCGAGATAGGCGAAGGACAGGTTCGGCTTCGCATTCCCGCTCCCCTTACAGATTTCCGCGATCCCTGGCGATCATCTGGGTGGGATCCCCGCCATCACCGTCATGCTTCCCGCGAAGACTCCCAGCGCGGTAACAACTTTGTTCCTTCACCGACTATGGCACGTTGGCAAGAGGAAGTACGACTTCTCTATGGCACTACCTATATAGAGAAGATCCAGAGGGTTCAATTGTGGCTCATGTCGTTCATGGTTCCCTTCGCTCAGCAAGAGGAAAAAGAACTCAAACGGAAGCGAGAACAGGAGCAGAAGGCAGAACGGGAAGAAATGGAAAGATTGAAGGTGGAAGCAGAACGTCGCAAGAAAGAGGCTGAGGAACGCGAAGAAGAGCGTTTGCGGGTTGAGGCCGAAATCGCTGCAGCTGTCGAAGCTGATGCCCAAGAAGAGGATGTTGAGCATGAAGACGGTGACACTGTTCCTATGGAGGATGTACAAGATACGGAAGTATCGAACGCGCAGGAAGCCCCTGACAACGCGGCTTCGACTTCGACTACGACTGAAGCGCAGCCGCGTGTTTTCACTACCATTCGAGGCCGGCAAATCGACATCACAGGGCTTGCGATTGATATTGAGTATTTGGAAGCGCTACCAGAAGAACTCCGCGAAGAGGTCATCATGCAGCAGTATGCTACTCGCCGTGAAGAAGCTCGTCAAGAAGGGGCTAGTACGTCTGGCATTGATCCAGACTTCCTCAACGCTCTCCCAGAAGAGATCCGAGAAGAGATACGGCAACAGGAAGCCCATGCACAACGCCGACGGGAGCGTGAAGAAGCTCGCAGACAAGCTGCAGCCAACGGAGGACACGCGCAGGCGGAAGACATGGACAACGATAACTTCTTGGCCACCCTTGATCCTGCATTCCGTCGTGTGATATTAGCAGAACAGCCCCCGGAGGTCTTGCGTCAGCTTGACCCTCGTCACGCTGCAGAAGGTCGGGCACATGCCAGACGTCTGTATCAATATGTCCGGAATGATGGAGACGGGCGTGACGATCGACACGGCGAAGACGCAGGTCAACGCGACGGCAAGCGGCAGATTATTCAGATGGTTGAGAAGTCTGGAGTGGCAACTTTGTTGCGCCTCATGTTCTTACCACAACAAGGTTCGCTTCGCACAAATCTATGGCATGTCCTACGCAATATCTGCGGTAACCGACAAACTCGATCCGAAGTCGTCAATCTCTTACTCCTCATTCTCAAAGAAGGTTCAACGGATGTGTCGGCTGTTGAGCGCAGTCTAGCCAATTTATCCTTGAGAGCAAAAGCCACTGTTGGCCAGAAGACGCCTCAGCCACTCAAACGTACGCTCTCGCTGCAGCCTGCAGGTGGCATTAGCAATGAGGTCACCCCTCTTGTGGTCGTGCAGCAGTGTCTTTCTGCCCTGAGACAGCTTTGCCAGAGCAATTACCACACTCGGACTATCTTTATCCGGGAAAGTGACGCCAGTCTGGCCTCCAAGAAGGGTAAAGGAAAAGCCAAGGAGGTCAAGGCAGCCAGATATCCTATCAACGATCTAATCAGCCTCCTCGACCGCAAACTGATCGTGGAAAGTTCGTCGTGCCTTCAATCACTTGCTGAGCTTTTATCGGCCGTGACTCAGCCTTTGCCGAATCTTTTGAAGAAGGACAAGGAGAAGGTCGCCGACGAAGAGAAGCCGACTGAGCCTGAGGGCAGGACCACAGAGGAAGCAATTTCCGCCAGTGCATCTACTGAAGCAGCTCAACCAGCTCGAATAGATGCCGATGTTGAGATTCAAGATGCTCCGGCTCCTGTTGCTACCAACGAAGCGACTGAAGCTTCTGCAAGTGTGGCTGAACAACCCGAGACTGCTGAGACTGGCACGAATGACAATGCAGAAACTAGCAATGACGACTTGACGACCGAAGGCGCCAAATCAAAGAAGGCTTTCGAACCGCCCGAGGTTTCAGAACACAATTTACAACTCGTTGTGAGCATCTTCGTTGCTCCGGAATGCAATAGCGATACATTCCACTCTACCTTGGAGACGCTGTCGAGCCTGTCATGCATTCCCGGTACCTCGGCCGTCTTTAGCAAGGAGTTGATTCATCACATCAAAGAACTTTCGGAATCCATCTGCAAAGACCTAGAGGAGCTGATTCCACAACTCAAAGAAGCGCAGTCGATCACTGACCTCCACGTGCTCTCGTCGACAAAATTCTCCCATGGTGGTTCCGACCAAGTCAAGCTATTGCGAGTTCTCCAGGCATTGGACTATCTATCCGCGCCTAAGGCGGAGAATGAAGAACCCGAGGGAAATGCGGTGGCAAAGAGCATCCTTACTTCTTCGTACGAAAGCCTTGCACTGCGACCGCTGTGGAGCAAACTGAGTGAATGTTTAACAACGGTCCGCGAAAAGGACAACATTACCACCTTTGCTACAATATTGCTTCCACTCATCGAGTCGTTGATGGTGGTCTGTAAGAATACCTCTCTCAAAGACTCGGTTCTGGCTCGCCAGATCAGAGAACAGGTACCTGGAAGTCCTGCGCCGGAGGCTATGGATGACCTCCAAGAACTGTTTTTCAACTTCACAACCGAGCATCGGAAGATCCTCAACGATATCATCCGCCAATCTCCCAAGTTGATGCAAGGAAACGGAAGCTTCAGCCTCTTGGTTAAGAACCCCAAAGTCCTCGACTTTGACAACAAGCGAGCCTACTTTACCAAGCAGATTCACTCTAGATTGCACCAGCAACGTCATATTCAACCCCCTCTACAGCTCAACGTCCGCCGCAGCCAAGTGTTCCTCGATTCTTACAAGGCCTTGTACTACAAATCCGCCGAGGAGATGAAATATGGTAAACTCAACATTCGTTTCAACGGCGAAGAAGGCGTTGATGCAGGTGGTGTCACTCGAGAATGGTTTCAAGTTCTTGCTCGAGGCATGTTCAATCCAGATTGGGCCTTGTGGCAACCTGTGGCAGCCGATCGTACCACATTCCACCCTAACCCGCTCAGTTGGATCAATGGTGAACACCTTCTTTACTTCAAATTCATCGGACGCATCATTGGAAAGGCCTTGCACGAGGGCCGTGTTCTCGATTGTCACTTCAGCCGGGCTGTTTATAAGCGTCTTCTTGGGAAGGAACCTAATTTGAAAGATCTCGAGTCTATGGATCTTGACTACTACAAGAGTTTGGTGTGGATTCTGGAGAACGACATCACCGACGTCATCACCGAAGACTTCTCTGTGGTCGAAGAGCAATTTGGCGAGGAAAAGATTGTGGACCTTGTTCCGAATGGCCGCAATATCCCCGTGACGGAGGAGAACAAGAGAGAATACGTCAATGCCCAAGTTCGGTATCGCCTCACCACATCAGTAAAAGAGCAGCTTGAGAATTTCGTCAAAGGTTTCCATGATATCATCCCAGCAGAGCTCATCGCCATCTTCGACGAACAGGAACTCGAATTGCTCATCTCTGGATTGCCAGAGATCGACGTGGACGATTGGAGAGCCCACACCGAATACCACAACTACAATGCCAACAGTCCTCAAGTTACATGGTTCTGGCGCATTGTCCGCGGTATGAGCAACGAAGAACGGGCGAAATTGTTACAATTCGTCACTGGCACCAGCAAAGTTCCTCTCAACGGCTTCAAGGACCTTGAAGGCATGCAAGGGAATACGTTGTTCAGTATTCACAAGTAAGTTTGTCAAATATCCTGTCAGGCTTTTGCACAGATGCTAACGAGACTACCACTATAGGGATCCAAGTCAATCTCGCTTACCGACGAGTCACACTTGTTTCAATCAGCTGGACTTGCCTGCTTACGATGACTATGATACTCTCAAGAACAACTTGATGACGGCAATTAATCTCGGCGCTGATTATTTCGGTTTCGCATGATCGTTCGGACATGCTCGGTGTGACATGCACAAGGCAAAGACATGCCTGTAACGGATTGTAATGGAGACAGGTTGGGGCGGTGATACGCAAGGACTTTCTGTGGTTTCTTTCTTTTCTTAGAGTGAGCTGTGATGTCTACAGGGCACCATCATAAAGACGTCGCGTCGTTCGGGCTGCTGTGGAGATGCGGACAAAATGGACGGAGAACTTGTGGCGACGACAACGGCTGGATCAACAAGGAGTTTGAACAGCAACTCAGTAGTGATCTGGGCTTGGTCTGAGATGTGCAGATCTCAGATGCCCGGTCCAGATCATCTCTAGAGAACCAATGCATAGATAGGTATTAATTTGGCTGATAAAAAGCATCGTTCAATAGCTGCTACTTGGATGTGCCGAATCGATCCATTCGTACATTTGCCCTGGATGGAGTCAGATCTCGGTTTCTTTTTCAGCTGCATTAGTGCCTCTTGTTTCGATTGTGAACTGCGAAAGGCTCGAGTTCTCCCTTTACCCCTTTATTGTTTTTTTTTGATCCACACACGAGTCTGTAATGGAGAGCCCGGAATGGCTTCCGCGCTTGATTGGATCTGGAACTCCCACGAGGCTGAATGTACGAGGCCCTCCTACTCACCAATCATCTTGTGCCCCTCAGATATGTTTTGCCAAGATATGACCTTTCCACTTTTGGCAAGCCCACACTTCGAACTTCCACATTTTCGAGTTGCAGATTGATTGACACTTTCCCGTGCCCTACGCTTTCTCCTTCACATCACTCTCTACCTTGTACTTCTTTCAATTCAAGCACCTCTTCCTCAAACGACAAAATGGTAAGCTGAACCACCGTCTCTGCCCTCCGCCGCTATACCACAACCTGCACATCAAGTTCCACCCTCGTGGATCGGGTGCTGCTCGATGTGTAAAAATTTCCGCCAGAATTTGCGCGGGGACATTGTGAGCGTGTGAAGCAGCCCAGCGTCCTGACCACTTAACTGATGGCGCGGACAATGGACACACGTGTCTCGCCTGTCCTTTTGCTACATTCTCGGTGATGACTCCGGCTGGAGAAGGAGAATCTCAGACGCAGCTAGCCACTGCTCTGAGGTTCCCTTCTCCTTAGAGTTGAAAGAAAACTTTTGTGTCAGTCGGAGGACATTTGCTGACGGTTTTCTTTGCTCAATGATAGCCACCAAAGGGGAAGAAACCCGCGCCTGCACCTTTCCCTCAAGGGAAAGCTGGTGCTAGCAAGAAGGCTGCCAAGGTACGTTGCAGATCTCCAGTGTTGTCTTCGGATCTTGTGTCTTTCACGACATTGGATGTGCTCTTCGGGAAGAGCGGATTGAGCTGACTTGCTGACCCGCGCCTCTGTAGAACCCTCTCCTCGAGAGACGTCCACGAAACTTTGGCATCGGTCAAGATGTGCAGCCCAAGCGCAACCTGTCGCGCATGGTCAAGTACGAATTTTCCAAGCGCTCCAGCTGCAATTGTAGAGGTGTCTGACATGTTTGTAGATGGCCAGAGTACATCCGCCTCCAACGCCAGAAGAAGATCTTGAACATGCGCCTCAAGGTGCCACCTGCGATCGCCCAGTTCCAGCACACCCTCGATCGAAATACCGCGGCACAGACCTTCAAGCTACTCAACAAGTACCGTCCCGAAACCAAAGCACAGAAGAAAGAGAGACTGCACCAGGAGGCGACCGCCGTCCAGGAGGGCAAGAAGAAGGAGGACGTGAGCAAGGTGAGCACCGTTTACAATACCTTCCAAGACCAACAGCATACTCATATCACAGCAGAAACCCTACACAGTCAAATACGGCCTCAACCACGTTGTCGGTCTTATTGAAGCCAAGAAGGCATCCCTCGTGCTGATCCCTAATGATGTGGACCCCATCGAACTTGTCGTCTTCCTCCCTGCCCTCTGCCGGAAGATGGGCATCCCATACGCCATCATCAAGGGCAAGGCCCGCCTTGGCACCGTCGTGCACAAGAAGACTGCCGCCGTGCTGGCTCTGACCGAGGTCAAGAGCGAGGACAAGTCGGAGCTGTCCAAGTTGGTCAACGCCATCAACGAGGGCTACACCAACAAGTACGAGGAACACAGAAGACACTGGGGTGGTGGAATCATGGGTGTCAAGGCTGTTGCACGGATGGACAAGAAGAGGAAGGCTGTTGAGAGCGCCATCAAGATCTAAGCCCGCTCCAGACATCTCATTTTCCTCGACTTTTTCTTCCCAGTGACCCACCTCTGGGAGAACGTCGAGGGAAGCTTCTCAAGAAATGAAGGCCCTTTGACGGTTCAAGTGACTGTCATGATCATGTCAATCAGTACGATGGTGTGCCAAGCTTGCCACTGGCCACTCGAGGTGACGAATTACATGTTGGGAGGAGATGGATGCCGACGCCAATGCACGGATCATATCCCTACGGTCTGGTCTGTCACTGCTCAAACGATGATGAAAAGGACCCAGGGGGTTTTCAAGCGCAGCGCTCATGGACACTCCTGCCGGTAAACTGTGCGTGCATGCCAGCGATTTACGTATCTACTCTCTAATCAGGTGTTCGCTGCATCACCCAGTCGGACAGTTTATGGTCATGGTCACGGGTAGTCAGGAACACACTCACACACACCATCACGATCACGATCAAACAAAAAGTCTCATAAAATGAAGTAACATTGAAAACTGCAAATCCTGCCTTGTCCCGTCCTGTCTTGTCCTATCTTATCCTCCACCCATTGAATTCAAGAAGTACCCAAGTAGCCTTAGTGACCCCTTTACTTTGGTCTGTTTCCCCCGTCTCTGCCCACGTCCTGCTGCCTGGTCCTGGTGCCCTCAACCAAGGTCAGTTAGTCCCTTACCTTACCTGGCGTGCCTGATCTGGTATCTTCTCACTTCCATGACCGGCGTACTTGTACCGAGTACTGGGTAGGTAGGTACCATACATCGTCAAAATCAAGGGCACAGGATGCACTCGTCGTGGCTGGGGTATCAGTTTAATTTCTGGTTCAGCTCGATCTTTCCTCTGAGAGATCCGCACGGTTACATACAATGCCAATTAATCCTGCCTCCACCGAGAGACCTCCAAATTGGCAAGCTGCAGGACAACCCTCTGAAATGAAGACGCCGCTCGTCAACACCTGGGAGAGACTCGCAAAAACTCCTCAGCCGTCCAGAGCATGGCATTAAATGCAGACTCTGTACATTACATGAATCGAATTTCCAATGTCAACACCGCCGTGGTCGCGTCATGACCCGCCATCAACATAGGAGTAACACCCAAAAGCCCCAAGGAAAACAATGATGGAAGCGCTCGCTTGCTTCGTCGTCGGTACAGTGCTCCATATCAGCAAAGTCGGTCCACATTCCATTGCGCAAGATAGCTCCATTCAATGCCGTGACAAGCCCTGTCGTGCCTGGAAGGTGCATGTCAGTCACAGGCATATCTCATTCGTCAAATTGGGGGGAACTTACCTTCATAGCTTCAATCCTCGCTTTCAACTGGCTCGTCACTTCCGCTGCTCGCTTCCAATTCTCCTCCGGCCTATTTCCAGACTCCCTAGGTCCAGCCCCTGTCGAAAGTCCAGAGTCACTAGCTTCTCTGCTCATAGAGTATGCAGGTGTATACCCGGATCGCTGTGGACTCATCCTTCCGCTAGTTCCATTTGACACCATGGGAGGGCTGATTTTTCTTCTTGTTCCGCCCAGTGTGTCGATTCCAAGCCCATTGTTCTCTTTTTCTTCACTGGGACTGAGATCGAGACGGTTACCATGAGATGTGTATCCACTCTGCGGTCTGGGTTTCGCGCTGCTGGCTTGCGACTGTGCACGACCACTCTGTGTGCTGGCTGAGCTTCCGGTCCGATGTAAAGCGGTGCTGGTAGGTCGCGCTGCATGGACATTTCCGTTCGCCTGGTATCGATTGTTCAACGAAGGGTCTTCGTATATGGCTCCAGCTCCACTGTCGCCGCCAAAGTTGGAGGCTTCGTCTAGTGCACGGCCACGAATCATGTCCTCTCGTTCTCGACCAATACTCTCACGCCCAAGTCGGGACACCTCTCGCTTATACCGCTCGCTTTCTTTCCGGATACTTTCAATCTCTGCTTTCAGAACATCACATTCGCCTCGCGCCCGGACCAGCTGTGTCTCTTTGGCTTTGATCTGCAAAACGTCGCGTGTATGATCCTCGATCAGCTGTGCATTCTGGTTTTGAAGTTCTGATATTTCGGCCGTGAGTTTGGCATTGCTGCTTCGAAGACTGTCATTCAAGCCTGTAAGTCGTTCTTTTTCAGCGCGTAGTTCTTCTAGTTCTGCCCGCTCCACTACTGAAAAGGCGTTTGAGGCTGATGTTGTCGATGGAGGCGAAAGTGGAGCGGCAGTCGGTCTGGCCAACGAGCGCCCAGCGAGTCCACCTCGGCCCATACCAAATTTGGAAGGGGATGGCACTGCTGCCGCTGCTGTCTCTTCGTCGCCATCTGTGCTCACTGGTGGTGAGATGACTCGTCGCTGTGGACTTCCAGCACCAACCGAAAGACCACCAGGAGCAGGTTTCTTGAGCCCACCAAGTTTGAGACCAGTAGGCTGTGCTAGACCTGGTCGAGCAAGTCCGCCTGGTTTGGGAAGCGCTTTGGCCGTAGGTTTGGGTTGTAGAGGTGTGGCGTCCTCGACCAGAGCAGGTGCGGCGACTGGCGCTGGCTTTCTCCCACCAGGTGCGGGTTTCTTCGAACCTCCCACAACTTTCTTACCCACGGCGGAGGTCGCTTTAGCGGGCGCGGGAGCAGGCTTCGGCTTTTCTTTCGCTTTGACTTCGGCAGTCTCAAAGTACTCCTTGATCTTGGATTTTCGGATGTCGTCTAGTCCCTCTAGATAAGGATTCATCGCACGCTCACCGATGATCTTCATGAGTGTTCCAAGAATTTCAGCACCACCGGATCTGATGCTTTCGGTTGACTCTGTTAGGAGCTTCGTGGCTGCGTCGGCAATGCGTTTTTGCTCCTCTTTGGAAGGCACATCTCGGGTAGTCCGCAGGCATCTGACTAGAAATTTGATTGTTTCGCCTTTGACGTTGGGGTTTTTGTTGGGTAGAAATCCCAAAATGTCCTCAAGGCAGTCGGTGAGAGAAGTTGCAGCAAAGACGGCGTCCAGCGCAGCTCCGAGAGCATCCGCCACGGTCTGCTTCTTTTCTTTGAATCTCTCCATCATTGGGGACATTATTGTCGATCTGTATCTGGCAAAGGACTTCCTAAGACCCAACGCCAACTTCTCGACGCAGTTGGCGGCCACCGTCACGACAGCAATGTTGGCATCCTTCATACACTTTGCGAACACACGGACCAGATCATCAAAGGGCGCCTCTTTAATTTTTGTAGTGTTCAAAATAGCAAAGAGCGCATCAAGGGCATCTTTGCGTTCCTTCCACTTTGTCGAGCCTACCATTTCGTGGAAATCGGAGGGGATCTTCGAATAGACGTCGACCGGTTCGGCAAAGTCGAAAGCATTCATTTCGGGTTCCTCTTCCTCTTCGGCCACTTCACCATACTCGTCGTCGCCACCGCTGGCTGCTGGAGCTGCTGTCGCCAAAGCGGCTTGCTGTGACCTCGTGAGGCGTTCCTGTTTCGGTGGTGGCTCTTCTTTGACTTTCTCAAACAGCTTTTCCAGGTCTTGTTGCTGGACCGGCTTCAATTCGCCCCAGAATGTGACCTTGATCGCCTCCTTGAGCCAGCGATACAACTCGACAGCCAGGTTTTGTGCTTCTGCTCTGACATTCTTATCCGCATGACCAAACACCTTGGGTAACACCTTCAAGACAGGTTTGGGTTCGACGATCTTAACGCCGTAGTTGTGGAAGATGGAGGTGAGTGCGTTGAGAGTTGCTGCTATGATCTTTGGTTGCTTGTGGGATAGGGCTGGCAATAGTTCTTCAATCACAGGGTCGGACTTGTCCAGCTCGACGTACAGCAGGATAGCCTCCAGTGCATTTGCTTTGGCCTGAGGCCTCGTGGAAGACAATCCCTTCTCGTATAGCGCCTGTAGGGTGAAGTTTCGTGATCGGACGGCAGCTTGTTGACCACCATACTTGAGGAATGCGCACAGCGCAGCCAGTCCATCTTGTTGAGCGGCGACATTGGAATCGCCCGCAGCAGACTTCCAGAGACTCGGATCTTGTAAAAATGGTCGAAAGGCGGGGTCCGACTCGTCAGGTGTGAGTTCAAACACTTTTACGGCAGCCTCATATCCCCCCTTGCGGGCTTTCCAATTCTTGTGCACGAATCTGTCGACCAAGGGCAGTTGCGAGAAATCTTCCTCTTGCTCAGCCATGGTTGTAGGGGAGAAGATCCGTAACCTTGAGAAGAAGTTGGAGGAATGTTTCTTTCTCTTGGGACGTGCAAGCGGGCTATTTGAGAACATCAGTCACACGGATCCATGTAAAGGCACCGGGGGGGGACAAGTTATTCAGATCAATGTGACTCGGGCGACAGTCACTCACCAAAGTTGTTATTGTTGTTTTGGCGGCATGCGGTCGGTGGTCTTCACAAACGACGGTGCAGTCGCGACTGCGGCCTGGGGAATTGCGCAACTGCCTGTCAGGAAAATCCAAGATATGCGGCGCGTCGATGGCCTGTTTTGAGAGGCGTTTGTCGAGGAGTGACACTGAGAAATCAGTTATATGCGAGTGGTCGCAGGCGCGCAGAAAAGTGTCATGCGGGAAAAACCATGGTGTTGGCGTTGGTGTTGGAGATGCCGGTGAAGATGGGGTGAAGTTGGCGACACACGGAGTAAACATTGGCTTGTGCCTATGACAACACCACGACCAGGTTGGTTTGCCCTGCACCTCTTCCCTCCCACCATACTTCATTGCATCTATCTGAATCCTACCACCACGTCTTCGCCCTCGAATGCTTCACTCCTTTACTTCACACCGAGTTGCATTCCTGGAGAAGATTTTGATTGTGGCTGCGGTAAACGGTCGATCCTTTTCAACAGCAACGAGATCAACGCAGCCAATTCTTGCCAAAAATCTACCCACCAAGAATTTATTCAGTTGAAGGTGCTGGTCTTATCGTCACATGAACATCTAGACTTTGGGAGACAATTTGACAAGGGGCTGCGAGCCCAAATACTTCAGCCATGAGCCAGCTCCTGACCTCCCGTCAAGCAGAGGAACTGTAGGGTCTCGCGACGTTCCCTCCACCCACACTTTTGAGGCTGACGCTGCTCCTCCCAGACACAAGTCCATGGTCGCCTACTTGCTCTCCGTTGGCATGACTGACAGTGCAAATAACCTGCGACGAGAAGCGAACTTGGCCGACACATTTGACGACGTTACCGCTAAAAAGTATGAGACCTTGTTGGAAAAGAAATGGACCTCAGTTGTCCGCCTACAAAAGAAAATTATGGACCTTGAAGCAAAGAACGCCGCTCTTCAACAAGAGATAGAGTCTGCTACACCTCTCTCCTCGAATCGAAAAATCGACCCCCAGACATGGTTGCCCCGAGCCCCTGCCCGGCACACCCTACAAGGCCACCGGGATCCTGTCACCGCTGTTGCATTCCATCCAATCTTCTCCTCACTGGCCTCGGCTTCAGATGATTCCACCATCAAAATCTGGGATTGGGAGCTGGGGGAGCTCGAAAGGACACTAAAAGGTCATACAAAGGCCGTGCTGGATGTCGACTTTGGTGGTCCAAGAGGAGGCACTCTGTTGGCCAGTTGCAGTAGTGATCTCACCATCCGGCTTTGGGACCCAAGCGATGAATACAAGAACATCCGGACGCTACCGGGCCATGACCATTCCATCTCTTCTATTCGGTTTATTCCTTCGGGTGCTGCTGGCGCTCCCCTGTCAGGAAACACACTGGTATCCGCCTCAAGAGATAAGACACTCCGGATTTGGGATGTCACAACGGGCTATTGCTTGAAAACGTTAAAGGGGCATTCCGACTGGGTTAGGGCGGTGGTTCCTTCGATCGATGGTAGATGGCTACTCAGTGCTGGAAACGATCAGATACCACGATTGTGGGATGCCACCTCGGGCGAAGTCAAAATCACCTTTTTAGGTCACGAACACGTGGTGGAATGTGTTGCCTTTGCCCCGAGCTCGTCTTACGCCCATCTCTCAAGTATCGCTGGTTACAAAAAGCCACCTCCGGCTAGCAGTAGTGGAGAATTTCTGGCAACAGGAGGAAGGGACAAAATCATCAAGATCTGGGACAATCGGGGAACATGCCATAAGACATTGGTGGGACACGATAACTGGGTACGGGGGCTCGTCTTTCACCCTGGTGGCCGGTATCTGATCTCGATATCTGATGACAAAAGCATTCGATGTTGGGATTTGTCTCAGGAGTGTAAATGTGTCAAAGTCCTGGAGGATGCTCACCAACATTTCATCACCAGTATCCGGTGGGCACCGGATATTCCAATCCAACCAAACATGAACGGGGAGACCAACGGCGTAGGCACCGCTGTTAAGAAGGAGGACAGTGGAGGAGGAGGCAAGATTCGCTGTGTCATTGCCACTGGCTGCGTGGACTGGAATGTCCGAGTCTTCGCTGGGTGAGCATGAGCGTTCAGGTGAAACGTGGGAGTTTCTGGATCGATTGGGAATCGTCTGGCAGCAATGCATCGACGAGAGCGAGCATTGGATGGTTGAACCAAAAAGTTGATGAATAGAATGAGTGTATGAGTACGAGTCACGAAATATACGAAACTCAGCCACTACGCATCCGCAACAACCGCAGGGAAGTTTCGTTTCGCCTTGGACAAACTCCACCACCTCAACCCCAATTTCTCTCTTGTACGAATATAGCCAGCTCCTGTTTCTGAGTATTCCCACTCTAATGCCATGATTATCTGGCTGAGATTGACCCAGGCCACCTCCGAACAACTCGGCCTTCCGTTCCGTCGGTCTTCAGGAGTTGCCGCATAGTGCTGATCGGGGAAAACAACTGGCGGCCTGGAGTTGAGGACTGAATGGCTCGTTCATCATTGTCACTATCATCACCATCTAGCAGCCTCGTGCTGCCCATGGCCATCTCCACTGCCTTTGAGTCAGGAGAGAAACAGTTATTACACTGTTCAGGCTGCATTCGTTGTCTCATCTCTCGATTTCATCTGACTGACAGCGTCGCAGTTGATAGCGGTCTCCAGGGCACTACCCGTGGGCATTCCAGCCGATTGCGATTCAGGCTGACCGAGACTTTCTCTCCCCCATCTCTCAATCACAACGCTAGCTCCTCAAGAAATGATCAGTCGTGACCTGTGCAACGGGCAGTTGAGCATCCCAGCCTTCCTACGTTCCTCAGACCTCCGGATGCTCCACCCTGACGATGGCAGTAATGAACTCATTCTTTGTCTTGTCTACATTCCACTGCTTATTGTTTCGGGTGCACGGTGATTGGTACCGCATTTTGCCGCCTTGCATTCGCCTGGGAACAAAGCAAACCAAGACAAACTATCCTGTCGCCCGCCTCGCATGCTCGCTCGGCGCCCATCGCCCTGGCTACTGACCATGTATCCCGTCACAGACTCAATACAAGAGACAAAGAGCCACGAAAGAAGGTGAGTTAAGGATTGCGGACACTCGCTTTGATGCTCTACAAAGACTCATGGCTGTCCTCATGTGCCATGCGCGCACTTCCACCCTGAAAAGAATTTGGATGGTCAGAGTACAAAGAATTCCTTTCATTGCGCTATGACTTCGGCTACCAGTGACCATCACCTCCCCAACCTTCCAGCATGGTATCGATTGCTACCCAAACCGCCTACGGGACATCACCTTGCATTGCGCCGTACCTCATCCCTCGCACAGCATCATTTATTTCGTGATCGGTCTCCCACCAGACATGGTTCTTCCCGCGATGATGCCCTGGCCCATCTGCCTGAGAACTCAAGTTATACTGGTCCCGCCCGTGAAGAGTATATAGAACAGCCCCGGAAACCCGCCAATGGTGATACTGGGTCCAGCTCTCCCTCTCGACGAGGTCGTTCTTTGGAAATGGAGACTCAGCCTCATTCAGCTGCCGGGAGAAAAGGCTCCAGTTCCAGAGAGAGTATTTGCTTGTGTCCTGCGAGTCCCAAGATTCCTAGACCTCGAAACTGTGAGAAGGATTGCCTGCTGTTGGCCATTTGCTATTGAAGGACCACTGACACTGCTACAGCCTTTATTTTATTCCGTCAACATCAGCAATCCAGTATCATAGCGCAGAACCCAGGCATCCCAAATCCGGAAGTATCAAAGATCATTGGCGAACAATGGCGTGGTCTGTCCGCCGAAGCCAAAGAGGAATGGAATCTGCTTGCGGAAGTATGTTGAGATAAAGATGACTGATTATCAACAACACAAAGACCTTTGTTTGTCTAACTTCTCACGTTCTTTAGGAAGAGAAAGCCCGCCATCAACAACAGTATCCCGGTTATCGTTACCATCCACGACGCAACGGCCGGGTCAGCAACCAGTCCTCTCTATCTGGCCCTTCGTCTGCCGAACCCCAAGAGCCTTGCCCCAAGTGTGGTGGAAAGCCAATGAACTATTACTCAAACCCAGCCCCTGTATATACACCGCCTGTGTCGACTACGCGACAAACGATGGCCGTTACAGTCCCAGCAAAGCGTGGCTACGTCGTCAGTGCTGCACCGCCGGGCTCGAGAGTACACGGACAATCTGCTCTTTCGCCTGAACATGTTACTTTCCAGCGAGTCGACCCTCGACTGGTCTATGCTGTCCCAACCCCCTCTCAAACACTGCCGACTCCCCCGTCCGCAGAGTCCCAGGATGCAAAGAGGCGGCGATTCAATGGCAATGGTGTTTATGTGCCTACTCGTGAAGTTTATCCGGAAGCATCGTACTCTTATGCCATCTCCCCAACCACCAGTGGTTTATACGCACGTCAAGAAGTCATGCAGCACCCCCAACCGATCCCCGTCCAACATGTCCAGATGGCCAAACCGCAGATGGTGTCACCTCCTCGAGCAGCATACCCTCGACCTCCACAGCTGCAACCTATCCGACCACCTCCACCTCCCCATCAGCGAAATCGATCGAGTGTCGCCTTACCTCCTATCGAGACAATGGTTACACAGACTCCGGTGAAGACGCCGTCTACACAGTCTCAGAGCTCTGGAGTCGAGGCCATGATAATGTCCATCCCAGTGTTGAACAAAATCAAAGTACTCTCTCAGATTTCCGGTCCGTTACCGGCGCCAGGTCTCACCTCACCGAAACCAGACGTTCGAGGAGCCATTATTGCCGTTGAGGGTATGGACGCAGCCAGTGTTGACAGCATGACCAATTCTCTGGCTGAGCAGTTGGAAAAAGAGGGCAAGTTTGCTGTAAGGATATTTGGAGGTCCGGATCCATACTCTGCGATGCGCGCTGCAAAGACCATTTCTGGCGGAGGGAAGAAGGGAGCCATGACAACAGATATGTACCTGGATATAATGAGTCAGTGGCACAAAATCAACAAGGACATGGTCGAGTATATTACTTCAAGGCCCGGGAGTGGTACACAGTCATCCCCTATTAGGCTCGACCACCAAGATGAGGATCACCCCATGACAGAAGCGGAAGATCACCACCAGCCACCCATGTCGTATGAGGCCGGCCTGCATACGAGAACTGCGTCCCAATCATCCACTACGGTACAAGAAAGGAGGAAAGATCACGTTGACTCGGCCATCTCACCCAGGACGATCAGCAAAGCTGCAGACATGTCCATCAACTCGCCTTTTGTGAATTCAGTCGCACACAAAGGGAGAAGCCAAAGCACACCCGGTGTATGGACTGGCAACGAGTTGATTCCAACTGGGCCGGATGCGCGAGCCATGCCGCCGATGCTCACCTTCCCACGTCCTCTTAACTCGAAGCGAATTCCACCTCCACCAGATACACCGCCGCCGTCCACACCTCCGCCTCCGGCCGCCGCATCAAACTCTCGTGAGCTATCGAGAGTTCCCCCTCCTCTTCCAGCATCTTCAGTGCCTCGTCCGACATCTGTACAGCCGCTACCAACCAGAGCCTCCATGTCTACATCTGGTATCAATTCTGGCTTACCCATACCTATTGCTATTGTTCCACATTTCCAGCTCACCACTGTCGACGCAAGCTCCATCAGTATGCCAATAAGTGACGGCTTCTCCCCACCGGCTCATTGGCAGTGGTTTGCCACACTGTGGCGAGGGAGCGTCGGACCAGACATCACCGTCATTATCAGAGGAGTGGATGAAGAGGCCGCCGAAGGGTCGGATGCTGCCAAACAGACACCAATCCAGGGCAACCATGGCAGCGTCGTGGGTGGTGCTCCTGCGAATCCCGGTATTGGAAGGGACAGAATCTCAAGTGTGACTTCATCACAATCTCACAGTGGAGGGGCAGGAGTCGAGATTCGGTTGCAAGACTCCAGGGCTGTGATTGTCAAGACTGGTATAGCGGGACTGAATACTTCGCTGGCATCGGACATGGCAGCTGGTGACGACGCTAGAGGAGTAAACAAGATGACGACGGCGCAACAGGCCAAGGAGATGGAAAACTGGGACAAGGCAAAGAGGAGGGTTGGGTTCGAGGTGGAAGAATTTTTGCGGAGATAAAATCTGCTATTCGGAAACCTTATGCTCTCTGAGAGAGACATGGTTTTGGATTAGGGGAGAGGTAGGATGCTTTCATTGCTCATTGTTTGACTCGGGCATTGGTTCCATCATTAGAGACGCAGCGACCAGTCTAGTCTTCTATGTCTTGTATGAATATAAAACCCCTTTTTCTCGAGCTTCCATCACAGCCTAGATCTGACCTCGGGCTTCTTTGTGCCATCCTCGTCGTCCTCGAGCTCCATCAGCAACACCCCTTCAGCGACGTCGTCGCCTTCCTCCTCGTTCTCCATCTCAATCACCCATTTTACCTTGCCGGCCCTCGGAGACCTGACTTCCAATTCCATCTTCATCTGCTTCACGAATGCGATCACCTCGTTTTCGCGCACCTCGTCACCCACATCGACAAGCACCTCGACCAGTTTCCCGCTCATGGGCAACACGATGTGGGTCTTCTTGGTCGGGTCGCCTCGTCGGTGTGTTGAGGCGGTGGCGCCGGCAGAGGAAGTGGTGCTATTCAGGGTCATCTTGTAGGAATGTGTCCTCGATCCAGGGATGGTGTATGTGATGTCGGCGACGAGGGCGGTGGGGAATTCGTTGCGGGTGACACGCGAGATGGAGAGGTGGTGGGCTGGCGGCTTGATGGCTGAGGGTTTATCAGCGGGATTCTCGAGCAACACGGTCCAGGCGTCGCCTTTTCGGAACAGTGTCGACGCAGCGCCGATGGCTGAGCCTGCGCCGCTGCTCGACAAGGATAAAGCTGGGAGGGATGTGTCAAGTAGTTCCGTGGCGGCAGCGAGTTGCTCCCCAGAGGCGACGAGCCGGTCCAGCTGTTGCTCCAGCCAGCTTGTGTCTGCGTGGCCGGCCGCGAAGGTCGCATCTGTAAGAATGGCTTTCAGGAGGTTCAGATTCGTTTTGACGCCGATGACCTTGGTCTCTTCCAATGCCCGGCGTGCCTTTGCGACACACTCTCCCCAG